ATTTGGAAGTGCTGAGAATGCTGCATGGAAAAGTTAGATGACCTGAACTTTTTGCCAACAATTCATGGCTTTTGCATCATGACAGTGCACCAGCTCACATGGCACTGTCTGTGAGGGAGTTTTTAGCCATTAAACAAATAACTGTATTGGGACGCCCTCCCTACTCACCTGATCTGGCCCCGAGTGACTTCTTTCTTTACCTGAAGATAAATGAAATATTGGAAGGAAGACATTTTGATGACATTCAGGACATCAAGGGTAATACAACTACAGCTCTGATGGCCATTCCAGAAAAAGAGTTCCAAAATTGCTTTGAAGGGTGGACCAGGCGCTGGCGTCGGTGCATAGCTTCCCAAGGGGAGTAATTCGAAGGTGACCATAGTGATATTCAGGGATGAGGTATGTAGCACTTTTTCTAGGATAAGTTCACAGACTTAATTGTCTGACCTTGTATATAATTAGAGCAAAAATGGTCAGAGTGAGAAGAGATTATGAAAAGGAAAGGAATGCATCTTTTATGAATTTATGCCCTGTCTTTTTTTGCAAAAACAAACAAACAAGCAAAAGGACTTAAGGTCCAACAAAATAGCACACATTCAAATTGGGATAAAAGAAAAAAATAACAAGGATGTGATCGTAAGAAGAGAGGTGGATTAGACTATAACAGCACTGCAAGAAACAGTACACACATTGGCTCTAAGCTTTTCTGCAGCCAAACCAGAAAAAGGAACCTGGTCAGCACTCTTAGGCTTCCAGCCTGGAGAGGCAGGAATTAGCAGAATGGGTGAGAATACAGAAAAGTGGAAGTGAGAGCCAGAGCAGGCTATCCCAGTGCTCTGCTGTCTGAAATTATCACAGTGGCGAGGGAGAATCAAGCCTTATCACATGTTGTCTGAGCTGCATGATTTTCTCAGGGCTTTAGTGAATAGTGAGACTTTGCACAAGTGTTGAAAATAACATACTATCTTTAGTTGACATTTCTAGGTTGCACAGTGCTTTAATCCTGCTTTCTTTTTGCCGTAAGTCAGGATACTTAATTCCAGCAAGTATTCATTTTGCAAGGATCTCTTGTTATGAGTGGTGCTAGACACAGCTCAGTGCCATGTTCCCTGTGGGATGATGATTAAATCACTATGCACTTGGATTTCAGACCTCAATGAGATTTTCTTATGTGGGTTCCAGTGATCCTCTTGTATGATAATAATAAAAATACCTGTTTTCCTACATAATTTTAGAGTTTGCAAAGCATTTTTACGTACATAATCTTCATTTTAACCTTCCCATAAAAGGAACTGCTGGTCTTGATTCAGACTTCATGCTTGGGAACCCTAAGTGATAATGAAACAGATTGCTAAGAGGAAGAAGAAATGGAACCTGTCAGGATTTGACCACTGTGCAGTGCTCTTCCACGGTGACGGCATTGAGTTTTTTTTTAGTGTTTTATATAATGTGTTCCCATGTAGGATATTGATGCTTTTTGGCAGTATTTGTTTGGAGATGATACACAAGTTGAGAACACGAACCTCATAATGAATTCCCGGTGTCCTTTGTTCTATTGAGCATCTACCCTGAACTAAGAATAGCGGCTTCCATTCTGGTGAGATGTTAGGATGAGGAGACAGTGGGATCCCTTTGGAATCATTGGAAAGCTCCTTTCAGGGCATCCGGTGGCTTCCTGCTCTCTGAAGAGCAGAAAGCAGAGAAGTAACGGGGCTCAGAGGTCCACGGCATCGGCAGGCCTGGGACTGAACCTGAACCACAGACTCCCAATCCAGCGCTCATTCCTTGAACCAAGGATTTCCCACTCTTGTCCTGTCACGCAGACCCAGGCAGCTGCATGGGCCCGGGCCAGGCCCGGAGTGGAGGTCAAGTTTGGCGAGGCCTCCTGCTTCCCGGAAGGACACTTAGCTGTCCTAGGACTGCCCCTAGAACCATAATTAGAGGAAACCGTGTCTCTATAGATAGTGGGTAGATATGGAGTTGGCAGCAACCACACACTTCGTACTTCTGAATGTGAGCCTTGAAAGCATAAATCAGAACTACCGTCTGTTCCTCCACCCCTTCCAGCAGGCTCCTCAGGAGACAGGCCTGTGCCTGCTGTGCCAGCCCTCTCCTCATGTCTCCCCTGAGCCTGCTGCTCTGGCCTCGCCCCTCGGCCAAGCTCCTCGTGTTTCGGCTCCCACCCTCCTCCAAGCTGCCAGACTCAGTTGCGCCCCAGTCCTCACCTTCCCTGGACTGCGTCAGCACTTCTCACAGTTCCTCTCTCCCTCCTTCCAGATACACCTTCTCCTGGCTCCGCCTTTTCTCCGTTCTCCTCCCTCGCCTACCTGCAGCCTCCTTGTCAGTCCTTCTCCTTGTCCTGGTGTCAGAACATCATTCCAGGACTCAGGGTCTCTGAGCCTCGCTCGCTCGCTCACCTGCTCGCTCACGCCCCAGATGATCTTCCTAGTCCCAAGAATTTAAAATATGATAGTAGCCCACTAATCCGGTCACTTCTGCTTTGTACTTGGCGCTGTTCCCCTGCTACACTGAATATGCCCCAGAGAAGCCCATTAGAGACTTGTGAGCCCAAACCTGTGCCTCCAGCAGCCTTCCCCGCCTCCGTCAGTGGCTTCTTCATGTTTCCAGTTGTTGTGGATAGAGTTCCCCTTCACTGCTGCATGTTCTGTGCTTCTCTTTCCCTTCTGCTTCCCGTCTCTGGGCTTCGCTCCTGGGTTTCCCCGGCTCTGTCCTGCAGGCTCCCTGCTTCTCCCTTCGCCCCTTGCTTCTTACTCCCCTGTGTGTCTTCTGCTCCATCCTGAGCTCTTGTGTTTACTGTCCTGCTGTGGCTGCATGTCATGACGCTGTCTTTCCCTTTGATTGAATATCTTTCTCTGCTTGGCTACAGGGACCATTCATTTGCTCTCCAGAGAACCCAGTTATTAGCCTAGGAAGGCCAGCCCTCATGCAGGGACACTTACACTACTTCACATTCCTGGGGAATGGAAGAGATTAATCATCCTCTGTGGTGCATCCTGTAAATGGTGTCCACGACAACATCAAGTCCACGGCCATCCCCACTGACTGTTACCACCCACCATGCTCATGGATCTCAGTGTTTCAGGAAACTCCACAATTGTCACAAGCGCCATGACAAGCTATCCCATGGAGTGATCTACATTATAGCAAATTTGTCTGTCTTTAGAGTTTAAATTTTATTTCCCCTAATTGGGGAGTGGGTTGGTTAAATATGCCTACAAAAAGAGAGTTGGGTAGAACATTTTATACAGGGCTTTAAAAGTCCTTGATATTGTAAGTGGAAAATCATGAGGTGTCTTGAACTCGGCCACGTCAGCCATCCAGCCACTGCCCAGGCTGTATGTAGTAAGTTAATTCAGTTTCGGGCAGATTCCCAGTAACACTGCTATTATTTGTTGAGAAGTATATCTTAATATTTCTCAAGTCACAAATATTTTCACAAAATTCATTCAGAATGTAAGTAGACGTCAGAAGGACTTGAAAGTTGGTTGGCCTGAGTGGTTTCTTCATGAGAGTTTGTGCACACCCTGCCCACGGACAGCAGAGCATGTGTTTTAAAATGTCTTCTGTATCCCAGTGATTCAGTCACCTGTGTTAGGAAGCCAGCAATCAATCAAGCATGCTAAGAAATGAGGCCCTAGAGGCACCCACTCCCAGTCTGGGCCCCTGACAGCCTGCTATCCTCTGCCTGTTGGTCACCTCACTGCTGCTTAGCATTTGCAGCCTCAAGTGGGAAAGAGGCATCAAGGGAGCTGAAGCCACAGCTTTACCACCTGTACATTTTCTAATAAAAGACAAGAAAGGAGGATGAGCTTGAAATTCACATGGATTTATGTTATGCATGCCGCTCTAGCATTTTAATAGCTACGAACTATTAAGCCTTAGTTTGTTTGCCAGGATGACAGTTAGCCAGGTAAATCCGTGTGGATCCTCAGGTGCAGGGAAGATGCCTCTCCCTCTTGTGCCCAAGGCATGCATTGATGGAGGTTGTCTTGGGCTGGGAGTAGGGGGAGTAGGGTTCTGACCATAGACTAGATCAGGTAGTTGAAATAAGCTAGAAGCCACCAACTTAAAGTAAATGCATGAAATTGTTGGGTTTAAATTTGAAAAAGTCATTTATGAATTAATTCAAACCTAGCCTAAACTCGTCTATTTTCTAAAGCCATTGACCTGGATGAGAAGCAAAAAATATGCCAGTAATTTGGATGAAATAACAATTGCATTGGCATTTTCTTCACTTTGAGACCCCTGAACAGTGTGCAGCCGTCTGGTGCGCTGGCTGTTGAAAATCCGCCTCTCTGGCCTCATTAGTGATGGTCGTGCATTGGCCTGGCATTGCTGTCCCCTCAGGATTCAGTTCTTCCATGAATTATGCAGGGCTCTTATCACTGTAGCTACTTTATTTGTGGGGAAATTGAGGCAGAGTGACCAAAGTGCCTTGCTCGGATTTACAGTCTCCTAGTGATGGAGCTGGGCCGAGAATTCAGGTCTTCTGGCACGTGGTGGAGTGGACTCTTTGCCATGAGGAACACCTGTGAGGGCATGGTGGCTCTTCCTCTGCCCCAGGAGCTGGTGGGGAGGGGGCCCAGGCACTGAGGATACTGAGAGAGGCGTTTCAGGAGGCAGCTGTGGGCACCCAAGGCTCTCTGCCTCTCATCTGGAAATCCCAGTCTGCATGGACCCCCTTTAGGAAACCCCAAGTAGGGAGCAGCCTTAGAGAAGGTGGCTAGGTGACTTCTGTGTTCCCTCCTTCCAAGGGATTCTACTTACACACTATAGTAATGTTAGCCCTGAAACTGTATGCTGCTGTCTTATTTGAGAAATTTCAAAAATTGAGTTTTTAATTTGTATTTTTATGCAAAGCATTCTCTTTAATTGTTCTAGTCTCTTTTGATTTTTAAAGCTGATTCAGAGCCTAGTATTTTTTCCTCAAGACAAATAACTATCATGATTATCACCGTTTGGCTCTTTGTGTTTTCCAGATATTCTACAGGAGAGCCTTCAAATCATCTAGGAAGATGGTGGCCCTGTCCTTAAAGATATGTGTCCGCCACTGCAACGTGGTGAAGACCATGCAGTTCGAACCATCTACGGCCGTGTATGATGCGTGTCGAGTCATTCGGGAACGGGTACCTGAGGCACAAACTGGACAAGGTAGCCATTGGTTATTCGCTGGCTTCTGAAATGTGTTTGTATGTTCTTAGAAGCAAAAAACATGGAGGCTCTGAATGGTACACATGCCCACTAATGTGTATATGTAAACTGAAATGTCTTCTTAGCCTGGACACTATCCGCTTCCTGTGTGTACCTTCTTGTGACGACAGCGACTACATCTGTCATTGAGTGATTGAACTCATCGGCATGACCCTCTCGTATATCAGATAGTGCTTTGCAGTTTACAAGTCACTCTTTGATACATCATCTCAAATGAAGCTGCTATAACAGTTACTGGTTTTGTATTAATATATCCTGAGCCCTGTTTCGCATGCATGAAAACTTTCCATCGCCAGGAGCCTGAAGAAGACCTGAACTGCATCAGGACCCAGGGCAAAACTTATATGTCAAGTACTTTGAAGGGACTTTATAAATTTTATCTCAAACCTTTTTTTTATAAAAAGGCATTTGTGATATATGTTTTGTTTAATATTTGGTTAAACCACTGACCTCCATTAATCTGAATTTAAACAAAAGCCAATCATACAATTTTTTCATTTCCCTTTGTCTTCTCTCTACGTTTCCTTCCTTTATTTAGTGATTATTTTCCTGACACTTGAGAAATTGGGTCTACTCCTAAACTGATAAACCTTTGTATGAAACTGGTATAAAACTTACATTAAAAATTGGAAGCATAAAAATCAAACATAACATTAATGATCATTATAGGTAGAGTGGGTCTTCTTCAAAATATCTGTGTCTTATCAAACTGCTGATCTTTTGGTCTAAAGCATTATTTATAGTATTCCAAAACACTGTTATTTCTAGATCACTCAGAAATAAAATTTGCTTACTTTCCCAATCTGAACTCCAACATGGTTGTTCAGTCATTTCTGGTGTTGTTATTCCTGTTTTTCTCCTCTTTGGGTTGGATTGCTTTATAGCTTGAAAAGTACAAGCCTTTAAAGATCTTGAAGTTTTTTTTCTAAGAAACAACAGGAGCTCTGACCCTCACCTGGGTTTCTGAGGTTACCTTGAATCCCATTAAAGACGAGAGAAATCCTTACACAGGAAATGATACTGCTTTCCTCCTGTCACCACTCTTGTACTTCCTGGATCGGATAAAGGGATTTCTATGGAGAACATGGAGTTTAGTTTTCCAACTTTTTCCATCATTTGGTGGCATGGGGGACAGAGGCCTCATCTCTCAGGGCACTTTTATTTATCTTCTGTAATGCTGTGTTGGGATGATGGGGGGATCATTCCAACTGAAAAGGCTCCAGTTGGCCCCTCTGTGTGTGCCTTAGTGGCCTTGAGCTTCGGTGGTCACTTTATTAGTTTATCCGTGTCTGTCTTAGGATTCTTCATGGGTTCTTGGCCTGGTTTTTATATAGCAAGTGATGAAGAACAGAGCCAAATTCAGTTAGAAAGAAATTTGGACTGCTTTGCTCTTGATGTTTTCCTAGATTTTAATACAACTACTGCCCGCTGGTTTTAAGAAACATGAACCTTGTCTTAGGGTGTTGCTTTTACAGCTTAGCTCTTATTCTTCCGCATCTGCTTTCATCCTGGTGGTGTCAAAACGAAACATTTCTCTAGTGAAGAAGACTCACATTCTTGCCCAGTCAGCAGACTCAGGGTCTGGAAGTCAGTGATGGCTTCATCATCACTTTGTTTTCTATTTTTCTTTCTGTTTATCTTCCAGCTTCTGACTATGGGCTGTTTCTCTCCGATGAAGACCCCAGGAAAGGAATTTGGCTGGAAGCAGGCAGAACACTGGATTACTACATGTTGCGAAATGGGGTATGCTGCTGATCTCATTTTTTGTTTTTTCATCACTTTGTCTCTGAGCCTCCCATAGAAGCCAACACAATTATGCTTCAAAGAAAAGGAGAGACCCAACAATTTATTTTGATTCAAGGGCATCTTATTAGTAGTGTTGATATAATGTACTTTGTAAGGGCTGTCCAGGTAGTGATAGAAAATACCAGCAGCAAAATTCTTGAAACTCCACAGAGTAATTAAAGCAGCTTGGGGTTAGTATTTAAAGCTGTTTCTACATGCCAGTGTTGGACTTGGTAGTTATGAAATAAGATACAGCATTTTCCTGTATGTAGGAAGTGTTCTGGTGATTGGTGATAGAAAGTAACAATAGAATAGAGGGAAAAGAAAAATAGAATCCTAAAGGTAGTCAGAGACTGACTATTCACCTGCATTTTGTTTTTGTAAAAGGAAGTTCATATTAGATGTCAGCTTAATAACTATCCATAATAGTAACAACAACAACAAAAACTGGTTGCGTCATGGAACTGGAGAGAGAGAATGAGTAAAAGGTGTTAAGTGTTCTGTTTAGCTTAACCTCCGAGATACTGGGTTTTGGTATATGGGAAGCTCATATTAGATTTGGTCAGTATTTCATAAAGCAAGAGCCAAGTATGCTGTGCCAATTAATTTTTCCCTCCATAATTCTATTTTTAAGATGTATAGTAAAAAAAGAAGTTTCTATTTAAAAGTAACTCCTGGACTTATTACCCCTGATAGGTCTTGCCATGACCAGGAAAACCAGTTTTGCTGTGATACACCCCAATGGGGAGGAATGATGGGGCTATTATTTATGTCCTTCATGACATAGATATTAACAATTGCCTGCAACTGTGTAAGAGGTAATTGGCGAAGCACAGCACTGTCTTTTTAGAAGGCAAGTAGGAATTTTCCTCTGCAAGTTCTCATTAGAGCAGATCATTTCCAGCCTGTCAGGAGGACATATGCTACTTTCACTTTGCAGAGGTTAGTTTTCAGTAATTGTGAGCTATAAATAGTGTTCTTTGGGTGCAATTTCACTCTCAGATTTTTAGGAAATCTTGATGACAGCAATTGTTTCGCCCTGAAGTGTCTGTGTGAGTGGCAAAAACCTCACGAACACTTTGAAGGGGGAAATCAGAGGGAGCAAGGGAAATTACGTGTTTTAAAGAAAGGTGTCCATGTGCACTGTCTAGTTGCCCACAGAGTACGAATGTTCGTGTGGTTTTGCTCTAGGATATTTTGGAATATAAAAAGAAACAGAGACCTCAGAAAATCCGGATGCTGGATGGATCTGTGAAAACAGTGATGGTGGATGACTCCAAGACGGTTGGGGAGCTCCTGGTTACTATTTGCAGCAGGATAGGTGAGTATGCACATGCCTAGGTTCCGGGTTTTGTTTTGTTTTAATTACATGCCTCTTCCATCTTTTCACCCTCATTTGGTGTCTGGGCAATCTCACATGTGTCCTAGCACACTGATTTCTGCCAGGCCCAAGAGAGTGTGATCATTCTCCCAATTTGCAAACACACTGACTGGTACTGTAAACACTTGAACTTCTTATTAAGTCAAAATTGAGAGCTTTTATTTCCCTTTCAAAAGCTGAGGAGTTTTCAAATTGAATGTACTGTTTCTGAAATCATATAATTCAGTCTTCCACCCATTGCAGGGTCTTCCACCCATTGAAGACTCAAGGGGACAGTCTATAGATGATTGACTGCTACATAGCTTTTCTTCTCATAGCTTCTGTTAGTCTCCTCAGAGAAGAAGTTTGTTTCTACATGAAGCCCTTCAGATATTTAAAGAAAGTAGCCTGATTTGTCTTAGTTTACTCTTTTTTTTAAAAGATTTTATTGGGGAATTGGGGAAGGGGAACAGCCAAGTTGTTGTCCTTCAGTCTTAGTTGTGGAGGGCGCAGCTAGCTCAGCTCCAAGTCCAGTCCCATCCGGCCACCTGACAGCAGCTCGCGGCCGCTCAGCTCAAGGTGCCGTGTTCAATCTTAGTTACAGGTGATCATAGCCCACCATCCTATGTAGGAGTTGAACCGGAAACCTTGTTGTTGGGAGCATGTGCTCTCACCAGCTGAGCCATCCTGTCATCTGTTGGCAGCTCAGCAGCAGCTCAGCTCAGGCGCAGCTCACTGGCCCATGTGGGAATCGAACTGGTGACCCTGTTGCTCAGAGCTCACGGTCTTAACCAACTGAGCCACTTGGCCGGCCCTTAATTTACTCTTCATGCAAAGGAAGCCCAGTTCCTTTAGCCACTTCTCATTTGACATTATCCTGCCTTGTTCTGCATGATCTCTACTTTGTAATTGTTTCTTGAAAATTAGGGGAACAGAACATGACATTTTCAGTGTAACCTAACTAGCTAAAACTACTGCTTTTTAGCCAGAGTTATTTGATGTGTGCTCCATGGGTAGCCCCCAACCCTCACCTGGGTAAGGCCTCTTTCTGTCCTCTGCCAAGGACACCTTGGAGTATTACGGGACCCATGCTGAAAGGGGAGATAGCAATGTGTAATCATTGATAATATAACCCAATTTATATTTTTAGGAATAACAAACTATGAAGAATACTCTTTAATCCAAGAAACAATTGAAGAAAAGAAAGAGGAAGGGACGGGTACGCTAAAAAAAGACAGGACGCTGTTACGAGATGAGAGGAAAATGGAGAAGTTGAAGGCTAAGCTTCACACGGATGATGACTGTAAGTGTCTGAGAAGGAAGCCTGATACAGGCATGTGGTTTTGCCATGCCTCACGCCATTCCCATCATCTGTATGACCCAGGGCAGGGTTTATTTTGTTTTTTGGGTTTTTTTTTCATATCTAAATATTTTGGTCTGTGCCACTAAAAGATTAAGACTCTTAAGGAAAAGTGACTAGAATGCCACTTCACGTCTAAAAAAGTAATTTCTTAATATTAAATATACACATCATGTTTACATTTTCTCCACTGTCTTCTAAAAAAATTTTTTTTAACACTTTGCTTGAACTGGGGTCCAAATAGTATTGAATGATATGTTACTTACCTTTTTTAAACTCGAGGACTTTCTGCCATCTTTTATATTTTTCCCTTCACATTTTTAGGGGGAAGAAACTAGATTATTACTTGTGTAGAGTTTTCTATAGTCTGGATTTTATTGTTGGTTTCGTACCTGTGCTGTCATCTAACATGTTCTTCTTTTAATTCCTAAGATCGGGAGGCTTGACCAGATTAATGTGTATATGTATTTTTTTTTAAATAAAGACTCCTTCATATGTGGTGTTGTGTACAGTAAGTTCTCATTTAATGTCATTGATTGGCTGTGCAACTTTAAGCAAAATGACATATAATTAAACCAATTTTGCCATAGGCCAATTGATATAAACAAGATTTCAGTTCCAACAGCATCTCATCAAGTTATGATGAAATGACGTTATTCAAGGACCTGCTGTACTTCCATCAGGAAGTTGTATTTGGTTGTTTCCTGTTTTGTGATGTTAATAGCCATTGATGACCACGGTCTAGATCCATTATTTCCTTAGGGGTTACAAAATGGTAATATAATTCTATCATAGGAAAGCAATTTTCCACGGCCGTACAGTTAATATTTGGAAAAGGAATTAGGTACACCCCATCTGTCCCCAAAGCCTGTGCCGTGTGCACCTGGCTGTCAGACACCCCATGCCTCGGAGAACCTTACTGCAGGCACAGTTCACTTAGACCTCCCCAGCCTCTTTCTTTTATTGTTCTTGCTGTTGCATTGGGAAGATGTCATCATGGTCATTACGTTTATTGATCTTCAGTGAGACTTTCATTTCCTCTGACCCTTTCTCCATTCTCTTTTTTTTCCTGCCTCATTTGATTTCCAGTTGCGTACTTCTTTCCAAGTGAGACTTTAGAGGACAAATCCCGAGGATTTTTATAATGTGCATGATACTCTCCAGGCACTATGGGGAGATGAGGTCAATCCAATACAGTCCCTGTGTTAAAGTTGCTTATACTCTAGTGAGGCTTGTAATACATTCTCACAACGTATGTAGTAAGCCCAGGGAGGAGTGTAGAAATGAAAGCTGCGAAAAATAGAAGAGTGATCAATTCCTGTGCACCTGGATGCCAGCCACGCATTTTCTGAATGAGTGCGATTCAAGCTGGGCCATGGACAGGGTTCTACCATCTCTCCGCCCCTTAGTGTCCTGTCCTCCCCTCCCCGCAATTTCATTTTTCTCCTCTTTTCTACGTAAGGTCAGAGGTAATTCATTATGCCCAGTTTATAAATTATTTCACCTGATGAGACTTAACTATCCACTCTGGACTTAAAGGAAAATGCTAATCAGGCATAGCACTGATTTCCTTATTTCTTTTAACCCCCAGAGGGAAGGGGCATGTTGCAAATTCATAATGGGGCTTTCACTAACTTTAGGAATGGCTGGGAATTTCCTCTCATTTGCTTTTCAGTGTGTCATATGGTACATGATGGCACATGTGAAATTACTTTGCAAAGTTAAAAAGCACAGTTCTAACATACGTACCTGAATATCAGCATTATAGAAATCTACATCTGTATCATACTGCTGTTTTGCTAAATCTCCTTGAACTAAGAGGAAAAACAAGCACAGCCCTTTCATCTGTCTTGTTGTGTTGCAGTAAATTGGCTGGATCACAGCCGAACGTTCAGAGAACAAGGAGTAGATGAAAACGAGACGTTGCTGCTTAGACGGAAGTTCTTTTACTCGGATCAGAATGTAGACTCGAGAGACCCTGTGCAGCTGAACTTGCTTTATGTTCAGGTACTGTATTTGATGCTCAGACATTGAGGTTGGTGAGAGTTCAGGAAGCTCCTGGCTGTGGCTTGTGCTGAACAGAAGCTGGACTCTGGCTTTCATCATGTGTGTGGGGTACAGCTCCCAGGGGGGCACTGCTCCTGGTTCCTCACATGTGTTTAACTGTGGTGCAGGCTGCTGTTTGATATGAGCTGCTGGCCACCCAGGGGAGGGCCTTTATTTGGCCTCCCAGGTTGGGAACTGGTGGCCAGTAACTGTCCCTTTCTGCCTGGCTTTGAGACACTTAAATGGCTCGCCACTTGAAATGAGCTAAAGTTTTCTAGCATCTTAGAATACAAGCAAATATTGGTCAGAAAATCAGTACTTCTCATTAACTGAATGATATTCTCTCAATAACATTTTTCTTTCCCATTAACTAATTGTTTAAACTCAGACAAGTCATTTAACTTATCTGACTTGCAGTTTCCCAACAAGTAAGATTTGGGCTTTGCATTAGATGGTCCCCAAAGTTCCTGTTGTCTCAAGGAAAACATCCATCTTTCTCCCTTTCTCACTTCTCTCATTCTTTCTTTTCCTCCTTCCCTTCTTTTCCTTCCATTTATCTACCTATGTGCCCACAGAAAAAAATGCAGCCACAGCATCACCTATGTTTGTAAATAAAGTTTTATTGGAACACAGCTCATGGTTTCCATATTATACACTGTAAATCCCCTATGCGTCACATAATTGTTTACATATTGTGCATGACTGCTCTCGTGTTCCAACGGAAGAGTTCAGTAGTTCTGGCAGACAGCATGGCCCACATGGTCTGATATGATTCCTATCAGGCCTTTTACGGGAAAAGTTTGCTGATCCCTTAGTTAGTAGATGGAGGGAGGGCTAGGACAAAAGAGGCTGGAAGGCCAGAGGGAAGGGAGATATCAGGGCAATAAGAAGTTGCTTGTTTGTTTTAAGGCTGAGAGCCATAGCTTAGCGTGTCCATCTAAGAGTGACTTAGGGGTCATTTAACTAGAGAAAGGAAAGACAGAAAGAAAAGGAATAAAGAGCAATAGCAGTGACGGGTCAAAGACTGGGAGAAGAACTTCAGTGAGTTGCTGATTCTAGGACTGTGCATTTGCTTGTCATTTCCCCTAAATGTCTGCAGTATTGAGTTCCTGTGTCTGCCTGCCCTCCCCCCCACCCACCCCTTATTTATCTTGGTATGGCAACTGAGTTGGTTTTACCTCTAGATAATTCTTCTGTTCGCTTTATGATTTAGGGTCATAAAAAATATATTGTATTTCTGTTTTCCTGCCTCTGTGAATCTAGTCGTTTCATAAGGATTTCCCTTTGCCTCTATTTTTCATGATCCGTTTCTACCTTCCTTGATTATACTCAAGCTTTAGTTTTAATAGACTGGAAACTGCTGATGTTGTCCACCTATAGGCAATTTTGGGCAAAGACTTGTTTGTTTGTTTTTTGCCTTACCCCTACTGTGCTATAGTCACACTCACGGAGTCCTCACTGTGGGTGGGCTTGCACATTTCCCCTTGCTCCACAGAGAGTGTGCACTCAGGCGCCGGAATGTGTCAGTAGTCAGCGTCCTCCCCGCCAGCTCCTGATGCTTTTCACTTCCTCTTGTGTTTCAGGCTCGGGACGATATCCTGAATGGCTCCCACCCTGTCTCCTTCGAGAAGGCTTGTGAGTTTGGTGGATTTCAAGCGCAGATACAATTTGGACCTCATGTGGAGCACAAACACAAACCCGGATTCCTAGAGTAAATAACCTTTTGGTTTTCTTTTTTCTCTTTTCCCCTCTTCTTTTCTTTTCACTATTTATTTTTGAGCTGGCTACATACAATTCATACCATAGTTTCAACCAATTGTGAGACTGTTAGCTTTTACTCAATTGAGTGTACGATCAAATTTGTGGACCTTGGGGAAAGCAAGAGTCCTGGATAGTCAGGGTTGGGATGCCTGTGAAGATTATCTGCTCCAAGTTTAGGCAGCCTGTGACTTCCTCCAGACCACAGAATCTGTAGGCATCCGCCCGAGCTCTGTCTAGTCTGTCCTAGGATATCTCGAGTTGAGGAACTCACATCCTCCATCTTCTGAAGCCTCTGCCCGTTAGAACATCCCTTCCTCATACCAGGCCAAATTTTGTCCTCTTTCATTTCTTTTTAAAACTGCTATGTGAGAATAATAGAGTATAAAAGACAGAACTTCACACCCTTTGTTACAATCTTTTGAATTCTTTGTTGCTCCGAAAGGATAACATACACATTAAATACTTGCTCCACTCTTTTCATCCATCTGGTCTTTGCTTCTTGTATAAAAGGATGGGGGGTATTTTTTTCTGGCTCAGTACTCAGAGATTGAAGAGAAAGCTAACCCTACAGATTCATTCTGGCCCCGTAGAACATGGGCTTTAGGGTTAGTTTCCTAGAAATAACCAGCAGGAGAAGCCCAGCCATACATTGGCTGCTGTTTGTCTGAGGTGAATTCTGTTTTGATCTGGGCTGCTTCAAGGGTTTTGTATGTTCCTTCCTCTGGTAACATTTCTTTTCTTTTATCTATCACCTGCCCCTTTCAGTCTCATTTCTGTTTCCTCTTGGGGCAGATGAAACATTTGACTGAGCCAAAAAAAAAATTAAAAAATCACTTCCCAAAACCTTGACATGCTCAATATCATGCTGTCAACTAGAATGCAACTTGTCGAGGCTTTGGAGATGGGGACCTGACACTAATGTTGACTGGGGGTGGGTGGGTGTCAGGTTTCCTATTGGGCATGCAACATGAGATGTGTTGAGTAGGTCATCCATTCTGTTGTGTCCAAAGGTACAGAGGGGAGAGGATAACGTAAATGCTTAGTTGGCCGTGACTCCACTTTCACTTTGGTGAAAAGTAATGGGGATCAGCATATGCCCTAGAATAGGAAGAAAGCTTGACTTTTCTCCCAGTGGCAGAGAACGCCTGGCCAACATGCTGTTGGGTCTAAACTGAGTTGTTTCAAAAGGACTCTACCCTTGGGTTAATGAATCGCAGGGAGCTTTTCCAAAACGATGCTTTGTCCTACAATATACCGCACAATGACCTTGAGAATAGCTCTGAGCAGGTCCTGTCACTTCTTTGTTCTATATTCTCCAAATGAGTCATATGGCCAAGTGTTCCTCAGGGCCCATTTGTACCCAGTCGGTTCGGCTTCCTTCCTGCAGGAGCCACGGGACGCTTGCCTTTCTGTCTGTTCTATGACACCCCAGACGCCTTACGAAAGACCATGTGCACACCATCTTTTAGTAGTTTCACATTCCCGCATTCAGACCTCACAGCTGGTCCCTCAGATATATTTGGTGTCATAAACCTGTGGATTATGGCCACGGAAATTGATAGGTAAACACCAAGAACTCATGAGGCCCTGGAGGAAACAACATCTTTTGTGTCTGTATGTTTCTTTGAGTGACTGATGAAGAACGGGAGAAAAATGGAGAGAAGATTTATGAACCAAAAGTTTTTAAATAAGATGTTTGCCTATTTTTAGGCTTTTTTTAACTGTAAGCCTGTGTGGCCCTGATGAGAAGGTGATCTAAGTGTAGCCTATTCACTGGGTGCCTAAAATGATGATGCTTCCTGGGTCACTTCATTAATGGTTTTCTGTAGAGTTTTAAACAGCTAATTCTCAGGGCCCCCGTGGGAATTAAGAAAGCAGTTTATTTTACGTGACAGATGTGGACGAAGAGTCACAGAGAGGCTTGCTCGGTTACATAGAATTTTCCTGCAAGTAGCTTCTGACCACTCGCTCTGGGTCCTATCATTTATAAAGGGAATCCTACATTAAAATTCGTCCCTTTCACTGGTCTCCCAATATGCAGCAAAATTAGGAAAGTACTATAAAACGTGATGACAGGGTCCTTTGGTCTCTTTCTGAGTGTCACTGGTTTTGCCAACTACATCATGGGGAATGTTTGTGTACCCCTGACTGCTGGTGTGGAGATTGCAGACACTATCAGAGCATTGGTATTGGTCTTAGTGTCTTCTGCCATTTGTAGGCCTGTTGAAGGCTGCATACCGACACTCCATGAAAGATGTCCCTTCTCTTAGTAATCTGGGGTAGCCAGGTTAAGCACTTGTATTTAGTCAGTTTTCTTATTTCTGAGATTATAGCACAAAGCTCTTGCCTCCAGGGGTGTGTGTACCCCTACTAAAATTCCAAATTAAAACAAGCTTATTATGCCTGGTGTCAATTATTTTTCCTTATGAATTTGATTTACTTTTTAATTAGACCAAACCTAGTCTAGGTAATGAGGCATTTTCATTTAACGTAGATGTTTAATTGCACACACAATTGCACATACCATACAAGTAAAACTTCCTGAGAATGTTCATCTCCTTTTAATTAAAACAAAACAGTGAGGCCACATCTCCCTGATTATATGTTGGATAGTAGGGGTCTGTTCAGGGCTAATATGCCTGGGCTGTTCCCAGTGACTGGATGGGCCATGTTTGCCCGGCTTTATATTTTTCCCCATCTAGCTTTCATACGTTCTACTTGAACAATTCAGAGTTTTTTTAAAAAAAACAATAGTGAGAAGGTTGGACTTGTCACAGAGCCAGACTGAAGATATAACCAGGCCAAGACTTTACCTACATAGCTTCTGGGTGACGTACATTTAGCAAGTACATTTCTTGTAAGTTTTGAAAATTTGTTTAACGTTTTTGCTCAGTCAGCATACTATGGACTTTTTATAAAATTTTTTTCCACCTTTCTTTAAGCCCTTTAGGGATTTCTGGACTCAGTACCACCTTGGTGAAAGTGTTTATTTAGAATAATAAAAATCAGAGGCTAAAAATTTTTCAGAGTTTTTACTGGATTTAAGGATGATTTGCTGTCCCCTCTCTGCTCTATAGATGGAGAAAATAGGTGCAAGAGAGACAGATAGAGAACCAGGGAGAGCTGGAAGCCAGAAAGCAGCCAGTTCTCCCAAATCCAGTCTAATGTGCTTTATATCATGATGCTTTTCTTCAGGTCATCTCCAAAGAATCCAGAAAGGGACATTTTATGGGAGCACGAAGTATAAACAACACAATCCAATAATCATATATATACTTTATGCTCTTTTGTGTTCAGAAAGTGGCTGCAGAAAGCATGCTGTGTGTGTTCTTTAACTCATGGAGGACGTCATACATGTGTTCTTTTGTGCCAGGCATAGGGAGGATGCAAGGAGGTATTATATAGAAATTCTTTGCTGTTTTTGAGACTGCAGTCTGTTTGGCAAATAAACATGAAATTTTATTGTGGAGAGCCAAAACTTGGCTCTGATTTCAATAATGTCTAACCTTTCACTGTGTTTTGAATGCAGGGTGGTCTACTTAGGATTCCAAAAGTTTAATTGCAAGATATGGGGACTACGGTGAATTGTTTCTAGAAAGGTGGCAAGAATATGGTGCAAGGAGCAATGTTGATCAAAGGATTTGACAAAGTAGAAGGTACCTAAGGTAAAGAGTTAGCTCTTAAAACAACAGCAACAACAGAACCTATTACATTGGGTTGTCGGAAAAGTCATGATGTACTTTTTCTATGTTTTTCCTTGCAAAAATGCGTCATGACTTTTCCGACAACCCAATAATGACTAACTTCAGACCCCTTGAAAACATGGTGTGAAACTTTAAAAGGTGATTAGAGTCGTAGGCTTCTCTGGACTTTACTGTATCAAAGAAGATTAGATGTACTGATAAAATTTAGACCTTAAATCAAGTATATGTGATAAAATTGCAGATAGCTCTACGTGATGGCTATAGAGTGTTCACTGTATAATTCTTTCAACATTGTGTGTGTCTGAGAGTTTTCGTAATGAAATGTTGTGGAAAAATTGGTAGCCTAAAAGCATAGAAAGAGATTGTAGAACTTCCAAACCGGTGGAGGGAGGGGAGTGAAGAAGAGATACAAACAATTTGACCAATACAATAGGAAACAAAGCAAGAAAAAGTATGGAAATAAAGCAAGAAAAAGTATAGCAAATAGAATGTACAAAATGAATGTACTTCTAAATATATTTGGCATCATAGCAAATACAGTTGATCCATGAACAACATGGATTTGAACTGCACAAATCCACTCATATGCAGATTTTTTTCAACAAATACAGTCAGCCCTTTGTATCTGTGAGTTGCACTTCTCTGCATTCAACTGACCTAGGATCAGAAACAGCATTTTCACATTCCCAACCATGGATCAAAAATACAGTTTTCAATCCACAGTTGGTTGAATCTTGAGATCAAAGAAATCGACTATATTTAAGTTTTCAGGGATTCAAAATTACATGCAGATTTTTGACTGTGTGGGGTCGGCACCTCTAACACTTGTATTGTTCAAGGGTCAACTATATAACTAAATCAAGTTTAGCAGTTAATAGCCAGAAGTTCTCATTTTGGATGGAATTTTTAAAAAGTCTAGCTCTATAGCATTTCTAAAAGACACACATTAAGGACAGAAGATAGTTTAAAGGCATAGAAAATGATGCACCAGGAAAATAGTTAAATAAAAGCTAGAGAAGCTATATTTACTGTCACACAAAATGGACTTTTAAGACAAACAAGCTTAAGTAGAGGCGATGAAGGTCATTGTAAAGATAGAAGGAGTAATTCACCAGAATGATATATTAATTGTGACCTGGTATGCACCTAACATTACCTTAAAAATATACAAAAGAAAAGCAGTATTACAAGGAGAAGTTTGGATATACAATTTTAGTGGAATAATTTAACATACCTCCCTCAGGGA